GGAGGAAGGAAGGAAGGAAGGAAGGAAGGAAGGAAGGAAGGAAGGAAGGAAGGAAGGAAGGAAGGAAGGAAGGAAAAGAGAAAGACTTCTAGGAAAGCCGGGCATCAATGGCTCACATCTGTAATCCTAGTTACTTAGGAGGCTGAGATCTGAGGATTGCGCGTCAAAGCCAGCCCAGGCAGGAAAGTCTGTGAGACTCTCATCTCCAATAAACCACCAGAAAACTGGAAGTGGCACTGTGGCTCAAGTGGTAGAGTCCTAGCCTTGAGCTGAAGGGCTGAAGGACAGCATCCAGGCCCAGAGTTCAGGCCCCACGGCTGACAAAAAAAAAGTCTTTTCAGAGCAAGTGTCTTCCATTGCCCCAAACAAATTATTTACTTACTTTCTATGCATTGCAGGGAACTTTCATTAATAATGCTTTCATGTGATATGTGAATATACATGTGTGTTTCTACACATATACATACTGTGTACTTGTCTTTGTCTCCCCATACCAGCTTTTCTCAAGCAGGGACCTTGCTTGTCTGTTTATTGTTCTCCCCAAACACATTAGATATATTCGATGAATGTTGGAGTGAATAAATGAACAAAGGTACAAAGAACTCTGTGTTTATTGAGTAAAGATATGACAGGGGCATGAAAACGTACCAGATGTTGGAGAAACAGCAACTCCTTGGTGTAAGGTCCGCTCCTGGTTGGCTAGCAGACTCCATCCTCCTCGCAGCAAAGTCTCCACCCAGTACCTGCCTTACCTAGGCAACTGGGACACCTGGAAGAGGTCACATCTGCATCCGCTGAGGTCACATCCGAATTTGGTGTGGCCACACCTTTCTCTGCCCATACCCTAGATAAGGCCTAGCCCAGGCCCAGACGCCCTCTCTCTGCTCTTTTCTAGCTTTCTCAGCTCTTTCCTTCTCTTTTCTTTCCTAGCTTTCTTTCCCAGATGCTCTCTTTTCTAGCTCTTTTCTAGCTCTTTTCTTTCTCTTTCCCAGCTCTCTCTCTTTCCCAGGCCTTTCCCCACTGCGTGGAGTGCCAACCTTGCCTGGTCCCAGCAGGTCTACTGAATAAACCTACCCCTTACCTGAATACCACGTGCATGGTGCTGTTCTTACTCACTACCTCTTTTTAAAAACCTAACAGTTGGCTGTGAAAAATGGAAGGTATAAGCTGGAGATGACATTAGAAGGGTTGTGGGGATACTTGGAGGCAGAGAACATGGAATTTTTTTATTTTATTTACTTTTTTGTCAGTGTGGGTCTTGAACTATGGGCCTGGGCGCTGTCCCTCAGCTCTTCAGCTCAAGGCACGCTCTACTCCTTGAGCTACGGTGCCACTTCCGGTTTTCTAGTGGTTTAATGGAGATAAGAGTCTCATGGACTTTCCTGCCTGGGCTGACTTTGAACCGTTATCCTCAGATCTCAGCCTCCTGACTAGCTAGGATTACAGGCCTGAGCCACCAGTGCCTGGAGAGAACATGGAATTTAAAGCCGATCTACATTACACAGCAAGTGCCAATCTAATATGAGCTACAAGTGACACTATATTAAAAAAACAAAAACAATAAAACTGACCTAGAGCAACATTTGAAGGGTAAAAATAGGGCGGGGCACTGCTGGCTCAAACCTGCAATTGTAGCTACCCAGGAGGCTGAGATCTGAGGATCGAGGTTCAAAGCCAGCCCTAGCTGGCTTTGAAAACCAGAAGTGGCGCTATAGCTCAAAGTGGTAGAGCACTAGCCTTGAGCTGAAGAGTTGAGGGACAGCGTTCAGGCTCAGAGTTCAAGCCCCACAACTGACAAAAAAAAAAAAAAAGGGTAAAAATAGGAAGGAGATATTTCTGAGTCAAGAGACCTGGGGACTGAGTGGATCCTGGGCTTTGAAGAAAAAGGTGGAGGCTGGGCCATTGAGGAATCCAAATAAAAGCCATAAAAACAGCAATGTTAGGAATGGTGATGTTGGGTGGGAGGTACCAGGCCAATAGCTTTCTCTGAATTTCAAGGAATTGTGCTACCACTACCAGCTTCCCCCCCAAATCCTTCTCTTTTCTTTCCTGTTTTAAATCACTCCCACAAGACCCTGAACTCAGCATGCTGGGGCACCATGCCAGCAGGCCCCACATTCCTGAGGAAGGCACAGGGGTTAGGCCTGGGGAATCTAGCTTTGGCCACTCTAGGGGGTGGCACCCGGGCAGGAAGGAAGGCAGGCTTGCCGCTGGGCACACACTGGAGCTTCCTGCCCTACAGCAGGTGCCCAGGCCAGCTGCTCCAGCCCCTCAGGCTCAGATCAACAGGATGGGACAGCCCAATCGGAAGGAAGCCTGCAGGGAGGGACACCCCTGCAGACAGAAGCAGGAGCCTGGGGTGGATGGAAGCAGGAAGAGCCGCCTGCACTGCTGAGCTGGCGCCCCTCCAGCAGATTCAGGACAGGCGGTGACAGGAGGCCATTCAGTCCTCAGCTTCTCCGGCCCCTACCCAGGGCCTCTCTGGCCCTGGCCAATAGTGGTATTATTATTACTATTGCTTTGGCTGGCCCGGGCTCTCGGTATACCAGAAGGAGCAATCATATGTTTGTAGAATTCGTAGTTTAAAAATTCTAATGCTCTTGCAGCTAGAAATTAAGAATTTCTACAGTACTAATCGGCCCTTAGTCCCCCAGAGAAGTGAAACAGCAGGAGCAAAGACTTGCCTCTGGACCGGCCTCTCTGCAGGAGATAAAAATCTTCAGTTTGTCTTAGGCCCTGTTATCACCCTGCAGGGCTTCAAATAGCTGCTGTGAGCTCTCAAAAGGCCAAAAGGAGGAGATAGGGCGCCAAAGCAGAGCCTAGGCCTCTCTGATCCAGAGGCCCCAGCCCAGGCCGCAGCACATAGACAGTTTTCCTTTTAGACTTTTAGAAGCATAGCCTGCCTCGAACCGGCTACCAGGTGGAGTATAGACGGAACTGTGTGTCTTTGACCTGGCCAGGGATCCCACTTCAGGTGGGCCCGAACGCAAGTCTGGAGACCCCAGAAGTCCTCGCTCCACTCCATCCCTCACCACAGGCGGAGGTCTGGGTCTCAAGGCGACCGGGGAGGGGGGAGGGAAGGAAGGGGGAGGGAAGGAGGGGAGGCCAGGTCTACCTTTGAAACAGCACGGGCGACTCCAATTTAAACTTTTAACTACACCAAGCTCAAACTCGATTCCGCAGTCAAGTGGCAGAGCCAGGAAGGGTAAGAACCGAGATCTGCCCAAGGCTCTCTGCCACGGCGGGGCCAGCCCTGGCGTTGGGGTTTCCTGCAGTCCCCACACCAGCCTCCCCGCAGCCCCGGAGGAGGACTGGGCGGGGCGGGAAGAGGCGGGCGAGGTTGCCAGGGCCGCAGATGGAGAGGACGAGCCGGCGGCGTGGGCGGGTGTGTGTGTGCGCGTGTGTGTGCGTGCGCGAGCAGGTGTCTGTGCAGTGGCGGAGCTCCCCGCCCCCCTTCCCGCCCCGGTGCTCCTCACGGCTCAGCCAGGCCAAACCCAACAAATGCTAAGAAATGCAGCTCAGATCGGCCACTCGGCTGTGCTTTCTCGCCAGACGCGTCAGAAGGACGGCGCTTCCAATGCAGATCTGTTGGCTGGAGCTCCTTGGCTCACAGCCGCCGCCGCCGCCTCCCCCGCCCGCTGGCTGGGCGTCCCGCCCGTGGCGGGCCGGGATGGTGGGGCCCTGCGGGAAGGGGACTGGGCGGGGCGGGCATCCCTCCCCACCCCCCCACGTGGGGCCGGCCCGCTGCAGTGCCTGGCCGCGCCGCCGCCGCGCCTCCCCGTTTGAACCCCTCCGGTGGCGCCGCCCTCCTAAGTCGAGGGGGGGGAACCAGAGGCGAGGGGTGGGCGACCGGCGTCACTGAGTCAGGTGGCCGCGGGAGTTTCCCCCGACAAGACCCGGGGAACACGCTAACGGGGGTTGTGTACACGCTCCACTGACACAGCTTCACGCTGCCGGGCAGCCGCTGATCACGCGTGGCCCTGGAAGCCCATTGGCTGGAGCTTCACACACCTTTGCTACTGATTGGCCGGCCGCAGGCTCCGCCCCCACCCCCGCCCGCGGCGCGGGGCAGGCTGAGAGGCTACCTGAATGGGGAGGGGGCAGACGGCGCGGTGCGCGGTAGCGGCGGGAGTGGCGTCGAGTGTCTCCGTGCGCCCGTCGGTGGCCAGGCAGCCGGCAGCCAGTCAGCTCGCTACCTGCAGCTAGGCTGCCTACCATGCTCAACTTCGGCGCTTCTCTCCAACAAGCTGCGGTAAGTAAGTCGCCTGGGGATGCCCTGGTCCTTCTCTGCGCCGTGGAGCCTGGGGCTAGCCGGGGGACGCGAACTCTGACAGCAGCCACGCCGGGGAACCCAGGCTACAGCGGAGTCTGGGCGGGGGGTGGGGGGGGACCCAGGGGCTTCCTGACCGTAGGCTGCACCTCAGCGAGGGCGTTTGACTCGGAGGGGATGGAGGACTAAGACCTGGATACCGCAGAGCGGGATCTGGGTCCGAGGGGTATCGGGAAGGGGAAGCGGCGGCCCCCCGAGGGAGATCTCAGTTAACAAGTGAGGGAGTTACGGGCCGTAGAGGGGCGGGGGCAGCGGGCCGGGGCTGCTGCTCTGGCGGCGAGGTTGGTGGGAGGTGTGGAAGAGGAGGGGGCGCACCCTGCACCTGGCCCTAGGGGAAGATGCCAGTCTGGACCCGGACTGCGCCCCAGGGTGGCGGGGGGCTGCTCACTGATTGGGGTCTGAGCAGGCTTGCAGGACGGGGCTGCTCCGCCGAGCTGGTCGCCCGCGGGGCTGGGGGAGGGGGCTCGGCGTCGGCGCGGGGGATGGCACGTGGGCCCTGCAGCCGCCAAGCGGGAGGGGGGGGTGTCGAGGTACCCCGCAGACGTCTGGAGAGACTCCATCCCCGGCGGAGGCAGGTGGCCACCTTCCGATGACTGGAGGGGGCTGGGACCTGCCTCGGGGGCCGGGGGGGGGCGGGGAGCGGGATCCAGCCGCTGGGTGGGAGGGAGGTGGGCGGGGAAGCCGGCTCCGCGAGACGCGGGGGCCGCCCGCATGTCTAGGCGGGAGCCGCGGGCTCCGGGGGCTGTGCGTCTGGAGCTCGCGCCTGTGGGGGTTGCACGTCTGGGAACCCGCGGAGACGGCGGCGGGCCGGAGCTGCCGGAAGCCGCG